TGTTTTTCTTATTTTATTTTAGCAAGTGCATAATTATTTTTAATATTTTTTTATAAAATATTTTCTTTCAATTAATCAGAATATAAAAAAAAAAAAAGTAAGTGGCAAAACGTGTGATAAAAAATTATAAGAGGGGCAAATTGGTCATACAAGAAAGAATCAGACTTTCTGTGAATCCCAACGAAGTCTTCTTCCTTCGATTTTTGGATGGAGACAAACGTTGTGGAAGTCTTGTCTCTCTTTTTTAATTTAATTTTTTTTATTTTACTTATTATTTTAATTAAAAAATACATTTTTGTGAAATTAAAAAATATAATTACTGACGTGGCCATGTGTTAGCGGGACCCATCTAGAGTTTAGCCACCCAATCAAGGAGTCCAATAAAGAGCCAGCTGGAAAGATGACAAAAGACCTTGACTTCTTAATTCCTTTTTTAATTTATAAATTTGGTTTATTATCCATTAATTACAATAATTAAATTCGCTTATTTTTTATTTCTTAAAATTGGTTGATTTAACTAACAAATTATTTTATATTTATAAATTTTATATAAATAATTATTATATATTGTGTATGTTTTGATAATTAACTAAAAATTAAAATTTATCTTCATATTTTAAAATTTTACGTAAATAATCACTGCATATATTATTATTATATTATTTTTATTTTTATATTTTAAAATTTAAATATTATTTCTACATAATACATATAATCATAATTATCACATTAATTTTTAAAATTTAAGTATTTAATATCTAAAATTTTATCTTTATATTTATAACTAACATTACTATATAATTTTTATTTTTTATTTCAAAAAACTAGAAGTCACAAACCTAACATTTCTCATTATTACTTATATACATATATATTTATATATATATTTCATTTAATTTTCTGGAAAATCTAAATTATATGAGCATTAAGTCATTATTTTTATGACATTATTGTCACGCAATGATGACTTTTTCAAATTATATACTTTATTTTTATAAAATTTTTAATTCCAACTATTTTAATATATTTAAAATGTCTATTTTAATTATAAACTTTTAAATTCACTATAATTTTTAGTTAGATATTTATTTTTATAACTGTAATTATATGTAATTTTTATAATTTTTTTTTACTAAATAGTTGATAAAATTTTTAATTAAACAATTTAATTTTTCATACAACTTTCGGTTGTGTTTTTTTTTAATATATTTTTAATTAAAATAATTTTTAATTACGCGTTAAACCTTTAATACAAGAAGAAAGCAAAATTTTAAATTAGTGCGTCTTAATTTCAGTGAAATTTTTAATTAATTAGTCACTAGAATTTAATTAGTAAATGTTATTTTAATGTAATTAATACAACTGTGAATATTTTATTTTTTTAATTAGATGATTTTAATTAAAATTGAATAATTAATATAATATAACGTTTAATTAGACAGTTGATAAAATTGCTAAGTACTACTAATTTAAATTAGTAGAGTTTTGAATTAAATAATAAATTTAATTAAACAACCATTTTCAGAACGGCAAAGTGAACCGAAACAGATGAAGTGAAGTTGGAAAACCCTAACAATCCAAAAGGGAAAAATGAAGACCTTCGTCTTCATGGTTCCTGTAACTAATCTCCTGAGGAGATCCTGCTCATCAACAACCATTAGCAGAACTATACCACTCACAGTCCACTGCAATTTGACATTCACAAAATCCATGTCTCAATCCACCTCCATTCCCAAGAAGCTCGATAGAGTAAGGGATCATGGCTACGACAACTACATGGAGGTTGAGAAGAAGGTCAGAAAAGTCCTCAAGTTCCAGTCCTTGATTCTCTCCCAGCCCAACCAAACCGTCCCAATCACTCGCCTCGATACACTCGTTCGCCCCCTCGGCCTAGGGTTTAAGCAGCACGAGGCCGGAGCATTTCTCCTCAAATTACCTCATGTTTTCGACATATATGAGCATCCGGTTCAAAGAATCCTCTATTGCCGATTGACCCGAAGAGCATTGGCTCAAATCCAGCAAGAAAATGATGCGCTCAACGCTCAGATCCCCGACGCCGTTACTCGTCTCCGGAAGCTCCTCATGATGTCCAATACGGGCCGTATCCGTCTCGAACATGTCCGGATTGCGAGGACTGAGTTTGGTTTACCAGACGATTTCGAGTACTCCGTAGTCCTCAAGTACCCTCAGTTTTTCAGATTGTTCGATGCCGAAGAGACTAGGAATAAGTACATTGAGATTGTTGATAGAGATCCTAGTTTGACTGTTTGCGCCATAGAGAAAGTTAGGGAGAGGGAGTATAGAGAAAAGGGTATCGATGCTGAGGATGTTAGGTTTTCATTTCTTGTGACTTTCCCGCCTGGATTCAAGATCGGCAAGTACTACAGGATTGCAGTGTGGAAATGGCAGCGGGTTCCTTATTGGTCACCTTACGAGGATGTTTCTGGTTATGATTTGAGGTCACTTGAGGCACAGAAGAGAATGGAGAAGAGAGCTGTGGCGACCATTCATGAATTGTTGTCATTGACTGTGGAGAAGAAGATAACGTTGGAGAGGATTGCACACTTTAGGATGGCAATGAATTTACCCAAGAAATTGAAAGATTTTCTTCTCCAGCACCAGGGGATATTCTACATTTCAACACGGGGGAATTATGGGAAGCTTCATACTGTGTTTCTCAGGGAGGCCTATAGGAAAGGGGAATTGATAGAGCCAAATGATTTGTATTTGGCGAGGAGGAAATTGGGGGAACTGGTATTGATTAGCCCCAGGAAAGCCAAGGCAGATAAGGAATTAGTTAGCAATAGGAGAGATGAAGAGGATGAGGAAGAACTTCAGTAGAGAACGGAAAGATTTCTATGTTTGGATACCTTATATTGATGGTTTTCTAGCGGGATGACTTCAGAGAAAGTACAAGTTGATTCAGGCATAAATTTGAGGACATTATTCAAAGAGCAACTCTTTTCGAAATCTCATAAGGGTGTCGAGTTGGAATCTTCTTCCAACTAAGGATTTCTTGTACTTCGGCAGGATCCAAGGGAGAGCCAGGAATGTATAGCTTTTTCACCTTTTGCACAGGTTCTGTCTGAACTTTCATTGAGAAGATTTGGAACTAGAGACTTGTGCCTGATTTTGTTCCTAATTCTTCTTCAAGAAGCTGTGAAGAAGCCGGTAAAAGATCATAGATTTCAATGCTATTTCAGAGTGGAAAAGTGATGTAAGGTGCGTGGGTTTCTCATGTGTTATTTTCACTCATGAGCAACGCAGTGGGACTTATGAATTTACTTGATTTTACATTAAGATCGGTGGTAGAACTTAAGATTATTTGTTGTACTGTTTAGTCAAGAAAAATAAGGCCGTTTGATTGCAATTCAGGTAGATGCACATAAAGGGTCCATGCTTCTAACATGCTTACTTTGCCAACTGCTCTATGATATTTGTTGTGGAAAAATGAATATCTTGATGTTTTCATGGATTTATTACTCACCAAATAAGCTGCCGGTTTGTCTTTGTCATTTTGCTCTGTGGGATGTTGGTAGGTTCATCCCTCAGTAATTATGTGCAAATAAGGTACGTTCCCACTCCAGGATCTTGTTATGGGGCCCAGGGACACTAAAATCTGCACAGTAGATGATTGTTTTCTAAATATCTTGTCTCTAGATATTTTTATACACTTCTTGGTTATTGGCTCAATTTTTAGGAGAGAACCCCCAGCAATTTTTTGAGTAAGAAAATACTCAACAGAATGAATGATTTTCTGCTTATCCATTATCTGTTTGCCATTTATATTTATTAGGCAGAAAAACAATCTCCTTAAGACCAGGAACTGTTTATCCTAATGTAACTACTTAGACAAATTCAAACTTGCAACTTCACTCTAACTTCCTAACAGTCAATTGACAGTTTTTCTGAGAGAAATTGTCAATTGCCAATTGCCAGAATATTAGGATAATTAGAGCAGCACACTGTACACAAATACTTCAAACACACTACACGAATAATTGCAAACACACTTAGTCCGACACAGCATATAAATAACACTTAAATCTACTTATTTCTCTAGAAAATAGCACTTGAATTTACTTCTTCCTTCTCTGGTAGATCTTGTCGAAAGGCACAATACCAGGATACATAACAATAATTAGTTTGATATCCTGGCATCTTTCAGAAGAAATTATGAAGAAACAACCCAATGCAAAGAAAGAAAATTACTGTTTTAGAAAAAGAAAAGGATATAAACTTTTCCTTTATATGGGTAACTAAAAATTGAGAAAGAAAGTGAAAGCATTGTTGTGATTCCCTTTTGGTTTTGAGTGTGTAAAGGCGTGGAAATGATACATTCTCACAGTATAGAAACATGATAATATATAGTATTAATATTCAAAACGTTCTCGCATATTCTTTAAAAGCATTAAGAAATACGATGAAATAAACTATATGGATGTTCTGCATAATACTTTGTTAAGTTTGGTACTTTCTTGTCAGTTTTATAAAGTGAACAACTTTCTGCACAGTGTAGTAACCTTGAGGCTAAATGCAATTTGTTGTTATTATTATTTTTCATGTAAAGAAGAGAATAAGAATAATTCATTTCTCTTGTTTTCTTTCCTTTCCTATCTTTTTCTCTGAAACTGAAAGCATAGTGTTATCTGGATCTTTTAGTTTCTAATAGAATGTATGGATTTGAAGGCTCTTCAAGATTCCTTTTCTTATTCATGATTCTAAACTCATAACTAGATGCAGTTTAATATCCTTTGACATTATTCCACTTGAGTTTTTGCACGACTTAATCTGTTTACCCATAGCAATCAAAATGTTTAAGGTAATGATTGATCAATTTTTGTGCAGGTGGATGAGTAGGGTCAATTGCAAAGTAATTCTCTCCTGTGATTCTGGAAATTGGGTAGAACTATCAAGCCATCATTATCTCATAAATTATGTAGTTGGTATATGCTGGATGTGAGAAAGGAATTGGGTGGATTTTGTACGAAGAGTAAAAGGAGTCAAAGGGTATATGCACCACTATGAACTTACTCTCTACTTCAATGGATTTGCTGTATATCCTGGACGATTTGGGTTTTGGGTGAAAATAATATTGAATTTTGCAGTCAAGCCATCATTCTTCTTTTTAGACAACTCTATGGGACGTGCAGATCTCTTTGCTTTTGCAAAAAGACTGAAATTTCTTTTAACAAATAAGTGTAATAGTTCTTCAGCAGGCATTTTTCAGATAGCTTGCTGTAAGATTCAAAATCTGATCAACGGGGATATTGCCATATGAGCTTTAGGCTCTTGGTTCTTCTGGTGGGTCTTTGACAGTGAATGAATATGTTCAAATAGATCGATGCAAGCGGGTGTACCTGGAATTGTTTTTATATCCATGGCCGAGTTTTCTCCTGGGGTTGTGATGTTACTTGTATCCTTACCCATCCCTGTATTTTCTATCATATAGCACCTGAAAACAGTGATGTTATTACCTGTCTGGAAATTTGATCAATTTTCTATATATGCAGATTGCTGCAGGCGTGATAAACAGTAACATGTTGCTGAAAAAGTGTTTTTTGGTGAGGAAGACTACCCAAAGTTGGTATGTGTTCCAAAAAACATGTTTGTACTGTGATCAATTATATGAATGTCTTTGAATTATAAGGTGTGAAATTGAAAGACAAATTCTTTTACCTATATGACCCTTTTTTAATCTCGAATTCAACATTAAAAAAAATTCATCCCCACAAGAAGATTTCAGAAGCTCGGTGAGTTTCCTCAAAGATCACTGCAAATCCGGAGTACATTGTCTAATCACTCGCATCTCTTGAATGTTTCTCTTCCAGCCCTCACTCCCAGAGAAGAATAAACCTAAACTTCCCTTGTATACTCAAATCCCCTCGTGAATGGCAGTCGCTCACCTGAATCCAGTTGCTCTTTATCTCGAACTCATCGTGAATCCTTGTTGTGTAGAATCAACCAAATGCCTTGCCTGTCTTCTCACAACTCTGACATCTTCATGCACGTAAATCTCCGAGATTCTCGTGTACGTACTAAATCATCAGCATCAATCTGTTGCTCTTTTATCTACCCATTGATTGCAGACTTAACCATATTTCTCCTTTAACTATAACCAATCCAAATCTCTTCTATTTTTATCATACATAAAAACAACATTATTCTTGCAATGCCTGGAATTTACAAGCCTGCAATGTACAAATTCTTCCAGCAAAAGAGCAACTCTGAGAGATGTTCAGAGTAGTTGCCAAGAAGGCCTTTTGGTTTAAGTGCTTTTTAACTAGTCAAAATATAATGTAATTATATATTAGAGACTTATTAGTAATAGTATATCCGATAAGTCGGTTTGATATAATGTACTAGAGAGACATTGCTGTAATACCATCATTTCAGAGGTGATGTAATTATTATCTTCAATAATGATAACTTGTAAAATATAAAATAAGCACAATAATGCAATTAAATATAAACTTGCATGAAATTAATAGTATAATTTTAAGTTACTTTCGTCGCAATTCAACATTAAAAAAAATATAAAAATCGAGCTAAAAGTTATTGGAATGATGTAAATAAAATTCTTATATTTTACTAATTATATCATATACGACGGAAGATATTTTTTTAAAAAAAATTTGAATAAGATAAAAAATGAGTTTTTATTATTTATATATTAATTAAAGAGAAAATTAT